AATCTAAAATGCATTATTTTTTCTGTTGGATAATTACATGTTGTGTTCTAAGGGAACATTATAGAGAATACCAAGCTGGATCTATATTAAAAGAAAGACATAAGAGACTTATTAACTTTATATAACACAAGAACTTATGATCCCTTTTTAAAAGAATCCCACTTTAAAAGTGATGTAATCTCCCTTAAAAGCAGAGAAGTAGAACACCGTTAAGGTGGATAACCCCAATTTGAACAAAGAATGTAAAAGATGTTTTTTGTCTAAATGCTGCCTCAATGCCTGGTGCTCCTATTATCTCCATCTTCCCCTGGCTTGTCCTTTCTGAAACGTTTCTGGTGCACAGATGACAGTAGGAGAGCAACAGTTGCTATGGAGATAGAGTAAAGTCACACATGAAAGGAAGTTCTGTAGATGTTCAGATTGGAGATTTAGCTTTACAGAGCAGACATTGCTGCTGTACATCCCTGCAAGTGAGCGTGTCCACCACAGCATTAATGTTCTCTGCTCGTCTCCTACCTATTAGAATTGCATGAGACATAAAGAGAGGGAGAGAAAGCAGCACATGATGCATTAGAGGAACAAGCTGGAATCTATATTTAGCCATTAGCTGGAAACTCCATGAACAACAAAGCTAACATTAAATCCATCAGATATCAGGACAGGGTAATTACTCATTACTGAGAAGCTACTCTGTTCTAACCTTCTTTCATGACACGGCCTCAGGGATGGCTTAGCCTTAAAGTTAACAATATGGTTAGATGTGCTTGTTAAATTTTTTTTTTCTTGGTGGATTTCACCATTATCCTTTGAGTTGGATAGAAGCTGCTGTCATCAACCTGAATTATCTGACATTTACACATCACTCTTTCTTATGTTTTTAATAATCTCTAACCAATAAGGACAGTGGTACACTTGGTAATGAAATATCACCATATCTGGTAATGAGGGAACTTATAAGGGCTACAAACTTGGAGAAATGTGTTGGGATCCCTGGTCAAAATAGAAAGACAGGTAGTATAACCTCAGACAAAAAATAATTCAACCTAACAGAGACCTTCATTCTGTGGATAGGAGTACTGGGGTAAAGTAATAACTGGTGAAAATTTAAATCAAAGTATTTTGGCTTTGATTCAAGTTTTTAGGAACATTTAATTTGTTATCCATGACTTCCCATCTCACTGGGGTATAAATATGATATCAAATTGAGGATAGGTTCTTTTCCATTGATCAATTTCTCTGTGTGACCCAACCTTCTGACATTTGAAAATGGAAAACTAATCACTGACATACCCAAAAGAGATTTACAAAAAGCCTTGAAAAAGAAAGAGCCACAATAGTTGCAATCTCAGTGAACTTGTTAAAAGCTGCTATTTCTTAATATACCCTCATTGTGCCACTGTTACTGCGAACCAAAATTACTTTATTTTAGGCTTTTCACAGATATATAGAAATTTGTACACTGCTGAGAAAGAGGTTAATTAAACCAATTTCCTTTACATCTAAATGTTTGGTCCATTGTAGAAATGCTCATGAAAAATTTCTGGATGTTTTAAAGTAACCTGGAACTATCCATCAACTCCCATTTAAGCATCTGAAGGTATATAGAGCCCTTTGTTTGCCCCAAGCCAAATAAAATGTGGATAGAATCACAGAACTTAGCAAATAAAATTTAATACATTACAAAAGGCCAAATCTCACAAGATTTGTCCATTTGAGGGAGATGCAGCAGTCTCTGAGGTATTTTGTCCGACACCAATTTCTTTATCTGCTGTTTGATGGTTACAAAGGTTGGGCTCAGGTCAACTGTGAAACAGAAACATTAAAATCCTTCCAAAAATGAAGGGCAGAACTAGACTTTTCGGGGAGCAACTTTTCACCAAGTTTTGTCAGTAAATAATCATCTGAACTCCTAGGAATACATTTAATGAAGCTAACTAGCATGAGAGAGATGCTTGCAAACCCTTCAGCGTACAACTACATCAGCACAAGCAAGGCGTGAGTTTATTTTGGACGTTAATTGTCTTTTTGTGATTTAGAAAATACAGGAAAAACATAAATTTAAATACCAAAACGAAAGAAATTGATAGACTTTACTTTTCTTTTTGATACATTTTTATGTTCAACGTTCAAACACTTTTACAAAAAGGCTCCTTTTTAGTGTGAGATTATATATTTTACACACAATTATATATTTGTTTTCAATAAAAAGGACAGGAAAATATGTTTAAATACCTTGCAAAAGCATGTAATGTTGTGCTGAACAACAGCAATTTGCTTTATTACGGAAAGTGAAACAACGATTTTGAATTTTGTGGCTATTCATTTGTTTAATCTGTTTTATCCACTTATGTAGATGAATAGAAAATGGTTTAAATAAAACAGTTGGAATTGAGAAGAAAAATTATTATGGGAAAAAATAAAATAGATTTAATAGGATTCTGGATATTGATCCAAAGAAAAAACAGACTAACAAAGCAAAGCCATTATATGCACAGGTTGAACACTGGACACTTGCTGTATGTGAACAATACCTTGTTTCATTCTGTCGTAAAGCAGATGTCTATCAATTCTACCTTCAATCTTTTCTTAATTAGAGCGGAGCAACAGTACCAAGCAATAACACACTCAATCCTTTTCCAGCCTGACAACTCTCCACATGAAGAACTGCTGCCCAGTAATCTGCCATTTGCAGTAAGAGCTGTGTGCACAGACAAACCTGCAGACAAAAAAGACATTACTACCTTGTCATGACCTTCCAACAGTTTTCAACCATTGCACAATTTTCTTCTGTCGGTGGTCTACATATAGGCAGGAATTCCTTGCAGTGCACTTTATATTTTTTTCATATCTTCTAAGATTGCTGTATTTATTTGAATAGACTTGCTGTGAGAGTTGTCGTGAGGACAGAAAAGTCAGAAAGCATTAAGGAACACATTTATTTCAAGTCGGTTTTCACTTTGTCCTTGATGCATTCAGACAAGAGCAAAACACACAAAAACAACATCATTGATCTCCGCAATTATATCATACCACTCTGGTCTGCTGCTTCCTGCCAAACTAAAGATGAAACTGTGCTACATATGGAGAGCAATGGAAAATACTTAATACTAAATAAAGCACCCCTCTTCAGCTTCCATCTGCTTTTGCTTCTTTTATCACATTTCAGACAAAGCAAAGAGTAAAACCCGATATAAAGCAATTATTAAATGACAATTTCATTGATTAATCTGCTAGATGGTTGTTTCACCCTCAACAAAAATTGCCATTAAGCTTTTGTGATAAAAGCCAACATATCTGCCAAATCTGAATACATTCTTTATTCATTTTGAGTCATCAGAGGTCATTACTTTCACATTTTTTTGGTAAACAGCAAAATCAGTTAGTCCACCAACCACTAAAAAACAAATGCACTCAAATTAATCTCAATTAATAATAGTTAACTTAATTAGATTGACCCAACTTAATTAATTCACCATGGTTTAACAGTGGACTAGATAAATAACTCAGTTTACATATCATTTCACAAGGAAAGATCCTTTCACATAAGATCCCGTTGGTTTAGTAGGTTCATTTCCGTATGGTTGATAATCTAAAAAACAAACAAACAGCAAAATCAGAATTTATTTTAAAAGGGGAAAACTGAGCATGCCACGAGACAAAAACTGGATCGTAAAAGGTGCTACAATCAGCATGCAGCCCTCCTGCATATCAATCTGCACATATTTATTTTGCATGCAGACACAGAGACCCAATTCCTGTTCATATGGATGTAAATAGCATCTTCACTGGTTGTAACGATGGCGCCTGGAGCACGTGATTAACATGTTAAAGCCAAAGGCTTATACTTTATGCCCCCCCCCATGAGTAGTCTGGCAGCGCCGTCACTGCAGCTTAGCTCGCTCCCCCCACCTCTCTACTTAACTCAAATCGATGGGCCCTCCTCTAGCCGAGCCATTAATCAGAGCAATCCGACAGAACTACTGAAACAGCCACTGAGGACCTGGCCTCACGACCTTGTTACAGCAAACTCACAGTAGCCTAACGCACTGAGCTAGCTGAAGTGGCCTTGTTCATGGATGGAGGGATGAGGGAAACACTACTGATGAAGAAGTGGAAGGCAAACAATAAAGCTCCCGCTGTTTTAGTCAACCTCAAAGAGAATCCCACTCTCTGTACCTCTGTTTCTTCCAGTTCAAAGCCAATCCTATTTTAGTTCAATCTTTCAGTGTGCAGAGGATGCCTCTTCCAATCAGATCACTTATGTTGTTCACCGCGCCGACATGGTGTGAATTACCCTGTCCGTGACACCTGAATCAGGGCGCCACTGAGCCCTGGGGCTACATGGGATAGCTGTAACTACTTCTGGATCCCTGAGATGAGACATGAAAGCTCTCAGCAGACCTGAATGAGTGACGCTTTTTCCTGCATGTTGTCGGATGTTATTTAGCTCCAACCCTAACAAGGTGCACAATGTTCAGTGCCTGTCAGACCTACAGAAAAAGAGTCAGTTTATTACCTTACTGTTTTTATTACCTTACTGTATTTTTTTCCCCTGCACATTATACATCATCTTAATCTAAAGTCTCCCATGGGGCAAACATTTTTTTTTATGTTCACAGTCCAGCTGTTTAACTGAGACTGGCTCGCGGGGGAAAAAGGAAAGCCTACACTTCTTTCCAAATAATAAACATCCATAGACATCTATAAATCACTTCACAAGTTTCTACTTGGGAGAGGATTCCTGCCCTCCTGATTTTTCTTTTAAGTCAAACGAAAAAAGAAGAAGACAGAGATGTCCTGGCAGAGTTGACTACAGACATTCAGGGAGTGTCATTCTCTTCTTTTGCAGTAAAGTAACTTGTCTCTTATGTTGGTTTATTTCTAGGACAATAACAGGTTTTTATCATTAACCCGAACACATTTATCCAACCAATGTTTCATCATCAGTAAAACACTGTCAGGGAGATTCAATGATTCTGTTAGAACAAAACGAAGCATACCTTTGATCCTCCTGGACTCCTTTCGCTGGCTGGTTTTGACACCCGACTGGACCTCGGCCTCTGCTGACATCCTCCACCGCTGAGTCCCTTGTCCTGCTCACAGCAGATCCACCATGAGTTAGCAGCCCACTAGCTATTCCTCCGAGCTCCCAGTGTTCGATTCTCCCTTTCAGCTCCTGTGTTTCTCACAGCAGCTCCTTGATACTGAAAACCTCAGTCAAATCCATGGTGACATGTCTGCTACTCCTCAATAAATGAAGATCCAGCATCAATATATACGTTCTGTCACTACTGGTCCATGGTGTTTGAGTAATACAAGGCAAAACATGAAGCGCTGATTGAATTAAGAGCTAAGCGATCCCCTGGAGGGCCGGTTCAGATCTGATTTGACATCCTCTGGAGTGTACCTGAGCTTCCTCAGTGAAGGTCAAGTATCACATGGTCTGTAGTGTTGCCTTTTATGAAGGTTCACCTATTGCTCAGGAGCAATCCCCCTGGGGGAGACTTGCAACATTGATTGAATCAAATATTGTTCTTCAGAGTAGGTCAGAAGGGGATATTATTCTTCGGTGGGGCACTTCAGTTCCAGATTGGTGCATCTGTAGCTCTCAGCACTGAAATACAAGAAGACAGAGATAAGAAATGTTAAGCTGGGGGTCGTTAAAAATGAAAATGACACATGCCTCTTGTTCCCCAATTACAGTATTAATATATGAAATGGAGGGCAGCAATTTAACAAATCAACAAAGATGTTATTATCGCTTCTGGATCATCAATCCTTAATGAGGATGGAGTTAATGCTCGCTGCTCAGCGGCCACCCACGAAGAAGACCTCAGGTGAAATATCTAACACTCTGACTTTATGTACTCCTCAAGAGTAAATACAGAACAGTAAACCATGACCAGCGCTTCTGTGCAGGCAAAGAAAACATTCTGAGGATGGACCGTTAATGGTTCCAACAGCAGGAGAGGAGGGGAAGCAGCAGAGAGAGCAACGAATCACGGGCTGTTTGAAAGCAAACTGTGGCGGGACTCCTGGCACAGTGGTCTATGAAGTGGAAAGCCCCACATTGTTTGTTAACGCCCTTGAATCGTTTGCAGCTAACACTGAGGGATGGGGGGGTGGCATGCCAAGCTGGCACCATGGCTGCTGCAGCTTCTGTTGGCAAAGTGAGGAGCTATTGTTGGGGAAAAAGGACTGAAAAGAAAGCACATTGTCCTGTCTGACATTGTGTGACACTGTTAGTGTGTTAAAAGAGACAACACAAGTTGGCATGTCATTTTAAAAATGCACTGATGCACTGAAGGATTCTTAAGATTAGAAGTTTATCAAAAGTCTCTAGTTAGTTTCTGTAAGTATTTGTTTTTATCAATTTGGTCCTAAAGTGTGGATGCTATCAATAGTATCCAATTATTTCTGATGTTTTTTTGGGGCATGTGTTCTGTAAAACATGTGAAAAACAAAGGTTTACTCAAAAAATATGTCCAAAAATTGTAGGAACTACTTAAATGTTTTTTTTTTTACTTAAGTAAAAGTAAGAAGTAATTATCCAAAAAATGACTTAACTGATAATAAAAGAGTATTTTCTAAAAAGGATACTGAAGTACTAAATGTCAGATCTTAACATTTGATTTCATTTTTTCAAATGATAGAGATTTTAAGATCACGTTCTGGTGTTTTAAAGGTTAAAATTCATAAAAATACCAATAAATTGTAAAAGAAGAAATGTACACAGAAAAAACACAACTTTGAAATACAGTTTTTTGACTAATAAAACCCATCCTTACAGTGAGAACTGTATAACAGATCACAATCTCTTCACTTCTAGAGGCGAGCTTTCCTCTGTGGAGAGGAGTGAAGACACATTTCTATTGGTCTACATGGACTCTAGGAACCTTTTTTGGTGCTTAAAGTGAAGAGAATGTGATCTGTAAAACAACATTTTAAGATAATTAAATTCTTAAACTCAGTAAAAGAATTAAAATATAAAATCTTAAAAAAAAAGTTTGATAAATAAAACATGAGGCCATTTTTTTAATTTCAAATAAAATATATACAAGAAAGTAGTTACGATACTCTGAAAAACATTTTTTTGATTCATTTCTAGATAAAATTTATTTTTACTTTTTTAATTTCCATTAGAAAAAATGCTTGTTGTTTGCGACAATAATGGAACAAGATTTAATCACTGCTGGACTGTTTCCAGCCCAAACACAACCAAAGACCGTAACAAAAACAGTCCAAATCTCAACCCCACTTGAAGCTTCTCTTAAATCCTTGAAGTAATAAAACACCTGATAAAGAACAAGGCACCCATCTTCTTTTAAATCATGAAGACACACTGGATTTTCTTCATAAAAACGCTTATAATAAACGTTGATTAACTGGGACAGTGGCAACCCATAGATTTTAGCTTTCCAATGCTTTCTGTACATGTTGATGTTAACTTTTCTCACATCGACATGATGCTGTCCCTAATAGCAAGTTAAAATCTAACAGCGAAGGCCATCAGGAGTCAGTGTAGCTTAGATGAAGTCTCAACCTCTAGTAGAACTTGTGATTCACGATCATGACTGTCACTAATAGACAATGTAGAGTTTGACAAAAACCTCACATTTCAAACTAATAATCCATTGAACATCGGTTCTTCTACCCCACACAATGGTAATTGTGTTGAAATTTTTTCCAATTATTGATTTCTTAAAACCATCCAAATTCTGTGAAAAGCAGCCCAAAGATATTTTTTCCAGCCCAACTTGGTGAAAATAAGCCCCATTGGGCGGAGCCCAGCCCAATCTGGCATCACTGTTTATATCAGTTTGGCCAAGCAGAAGGAATATCGAGGACTGCAGAGTCAAAGTGTCAAAAACTGCTTAGATGAAAAGTTTAGGAGCTTGAACTAAAAGTTTAAATGTATTAAAGGTATAGAGGACGATCTTTTATTTCCGGATGGATGATCTATGTAAGTGGTAATCCTATTGTCAATTATTCTGGTGATATGTTAACATAAGGTGGTCCTACATGCTCCTACCGTTAGCTATCTTTTTCTGCGCATGCGCAATTTCAGGCGTATATGTGTAGTCAGCAACAGTGTCAGACGGTCATTGAAGCTCACCTTTCTCACAGCGGTTCTTTGAAAATGGCCGAGGGTAATAAGAGAAAAAGAGTCTATGAAATATATGAAAAAAAAGGCCTCAGAAGAGGCAGATATATCCCAGAATGCTTTGCGCAGAGAGCTCTTCTCGCAAAGCATTATGGGATTTGCTGTCACAGCGGCCTGCTGTCGCCATAGGCTGTCATTACACATCAGTGGTGACTAATAAAAAAGATGGCACAGGCACTGTGCGGAGGAGGAGGAATTACGCGACCAACGGAGCAAAAAGCAGTGATTATTTGTCCAAAGTTAACTTCGTTTTTCTATAAAGTCCACAATTTATTCCCCACTGTATGTGGACACAGCGAGCTTGTATGAGCTATGAGAACAGCACATTTTTAACAGGATGTGCATGAGGAAATATGGGCTTGTGTACGCCCTTGCACGTGCATTTCTTTTTAAGTGGAGAGCGGGTCTTTTAAAAAAATCCTCCCCAATACCTTTAAAGTGTGTACATTCAGCTAACTATATGGTATGGACTTTACAAAAATGAAACTAAAGAAGATTTTAGCAGTGGGATCCAAATTGGCAGTAAAGAAAAAGAGAGACAAGTCACAGACTTGTCTGGTTTGGTACATGTAGAGTGGATATTTTTGACTAAATGGAAGAAGAGTTCTTTGACGATGTGAAGAAGGATAGGAAGTAGTGATTGTGGGACATATAAAGTGAGCTTCTTAACAGAGAAGGAATAAAGGAAACTCTGTTGCTTAGATATATTTCCTCGATCAACAGCTGGTTGTTACCATAAGACTGGATTCGTCAGACTTGTGTCAGAGTTTGTGTTTGCTCACAAGTCTGAGAGTCTGATAATGTCACCCAGGACCAGCGGCGAAGGAGAAATCTACCCGTGAGTATGTCTCAAACAGGGCAGTGGCGTGTCAGCAGTGGAAGAGGTATTCTCCATGTCACAAAGAACCTTATCAGAATGCCATTTTCATTACCAATGAGAGATATGCCTCATTGTATTAGAACATGGAGTGATTTAATGTGATGTATGGCTTCTTTTTAGAGCCAATGCTATCTAGGTCACCCAGACTCCCCAGTCTGCTCCGTGTTTTAACAGCTCCCACTGTCTCTCAGGATTTGGGTCAGAGTTAACGAGCATCACTCATTTTTTCAGCTTCCTCTCAACTGTTAAGGGATGTCAAAAGCCCCAGCACCACCCCCTGACAAAAGCCGCCATTTATTTATTAATTTGCTCACTTTGGCACCTCGTCTGTGAAGCACAGAGGAAGCCTCCTTGAGCAAAGTCGGTTTCGTTTCGACTCGCTATCCTCATTTCCTGCCCTCAGCCTGTTTTTCTTTTCATCTCTGTCTGCCTGAATGTCTGAGGTGATATTTGGAGTTGTTTGCCTTCTCCTTCACTTAGAGTTTCTTTCCTGCACACAGTTTACAGAACAAAAAACTGCTCCATGTCTACCAGCACATCAATCAGTCTGAGCCAAGAGGAACTTTTAACAGTCTGCATTATTCGGTTAGGGGGCACTGGTGCATTAGGACGAGTTGCGTGCCATGATTATGTAATTAATGTATGCACCATTCAATCAGGAATTTGCTTGATGTGATGAGTTTGTTTGCAATTAAATAAAAACCAGGATTTCTATCTTTGATTTCTGTTGCTGAGAAACAAAAGCTTATAATTGATGACAATTATCTCCCTCTGGATCTCTCTGTGGATAGAGATACCTCATTAAGTGTGATCAGTTTTTCAATCATGTTTACTGCCTTGGTGATATAATGGGCAATCACCGAGCAGAAGTTGATTTTTTCCCCTTTTCTTTCAAGCACGACCATTCTGGAGCTTCTTCTTTCAAGCTGTGGCATCGCAACACAGTGACATCTCCTCCTGGGGATGATTTTTAATAGACCTCACAATCAGCCTCATATTGTGAAACAAGCAAGCCTCGGTGCATCCTGCCACTGATGAGGAACAAAAGGTTGAACAGCCATCTATCACTGGATATGGCCAATTAAACCTCCATTCGGCGCGGCCCCAGCGGAAGGTGCAGCCTGTGAATCACATGATGTGTGTGGAGGAAAAAAAAAAAGGAAGCCTTCACTCTCCCAAGGATTCCTTTCCTGTCCACACTAAGGCTGGCATGGCCTGGGGCTGCAAGAGCGTTTGCTCGACAGACCGGCTCTGGCACTTCATGCTGGTCATCTTTGTTACAAAATGCCTCCCAGCTTATGGACTGGAACAATTCTGTCACAACCTGGCCTGGCAGAGCCCATCTCCGGGCAAGCCAGCTGTTTCAGTTTGTGTCATCAATGGAGGCAATCAGCTGCAGCCGTAAATGCAAAAACCTTTTAATCTATGTAGCTGTGAAATAATTAATTTGAGCCCTTATATTCTACTCTACATCAGCTTTTATCAGCCTCATAATCAAGAATAAGTTCAAGTCACTTGGAAGCGGCCTTACAAGCGTCTAATTGCCATTAAATCCATGATAAGGTTAATG